TTTTTCCGTTGATTGTTCCTGTTGTCACAACAATCGCAAGGTCATCCAATTAACCATACACACACACACACACATACATATATATATATATATAAAGCAATAAGGAGAAGAAAGAAAGGGTGGTCGGCATGAAGTGGGTCTTTTTGTGCGGCTATACGGCGCTGGTGGCAGGGGCGGTGGGATTGGGGTTCATGCGTCACTTTCGCCTCGCCGCGGGGCCGCCACGGGTGAGTTGGAGCGGCCTCCTCTTCGGCCACCGCGGCTGTCGAAAGGTGAGGGGGATCCCGGAGAACACGCTGAGGGCGTTTCAGTACGCCTTCGACAACGGCTGCAAGGGTGTGGAGTGCGACGTCCGGCTCACCAAGGATGACGAGGTCGTTGTCTTTCACGATAATAACATCGACGGCCAGCTGGACTGCCCCCAGGGCCGCAAGCGCATTGACGAGCTCACCCTGAAGGAACTCAAATCCTATCGTTATCTGGAGGACCCAACTGGAAAGATCCGGGTGCCGACGCTCGAGGAAACTGTGCTGCTCTGTCGCAAGAGCCGGACAAAGATTCTCATCGAGGTGAAAGACCTGCGGAATATTCGTCGATGTGTTGACAAGATTCTCACACTTTATCAACGTTACCCAGAGTATATGTACGAGCAGACGACGATTATTTCGTTCAATCCGATAGTCCTTTACTACATACGTCAGCTCGATGCCAAGGTGGCGACAGGCTCAATTTACGAGCGGGAATTTATCCGATATTGTATTAATTCGAAAGTGGATGAGATTCCACGCATTTTGCACATCTGGCCGGCGTTTTTCGATTGTGTCTTGTTGCATTTTCAGGAGTGGGTGGCCTCTTGGTTCTTGGGATGTTCCTTGATGTGCCCTGATTACAGGCTCTATAGTGAAGCTAAACATCGGCGATGGCAATCACAAGGGATTACACTGTATTTCTGGGGTTTTGAGGATAATACCGTCTGCACTCCGGAGTTTAAACAGCCTGGAATCTTCATTGCTGCCGACGATAAATACGAGGGGTTTAAATAACGGATTAAGAGGAGAAAGGAAGGATATGCGATTTTTTCCCCAAGACGCCTCTGTAGAGTTTATATACATACTTTTTTTTTGCCTTTAAGAGCGATAATGGGTTTATGTGAAGATATGTGAGTGGGCGATCAATGTAGGTTTTAGATTTTTAAACACCAAACAAACATAATGAACAAACGAATATTTTAAAATTTCTTAGACTTCTTTTTAGTCTATTATCTTATTTGAAACATTATTCCTGTATTTACTCATTGATTATATTCAATATTTCAAACGATTGAACTTCTAATTTTTCAAGTTTATTGCGTTATTTATGTAGGGAACCTTCCAACCTTTCTCACGTATCACAGCTTTTTAATTTATGAGCCCATTAACGATAAGTTAAGGAGAAATGAAAACTCATCATTCTTAAGAGTTGGTATCTACGCAAAAATTGAATTAATAAATTGATAAAGCCATCCAGCTTGACATTTCATGCAGTTAATTGTAGTCCCGATACAATCATCAGTATATTTATTACTATCTCAGTTCAGATTTTTAGTTAGGTGATAACATATGTATATGTATATATATATATATGTTTGTATTTCCCTTTTTTATAGATATTTTTCCTGTAAACGCACACTTCTCGGGTTTTCTTATTGTTGGGTTATCAATTATCCACTGAGTATAATAAACAATTATATTTACTTAAAAGTGTTCGGAAAAATAATGGATATTTTTATTTCTATGGAATTTGATTGCGAAGAGATTTTCTAATACCACTTTTTTTGTGGTGATGGAGGATAACTGTCAAAATTCTTATACGATCCCTTTTCTTTTATTTTTATATTTTTTGTATCCATATCCTTTGAATTAAAAAACCTTTATCTCTTGGATATTCTTTTTATCTTATTTGTAAAATCACAGAACATAGAGCTTTGCCGGCTTTCGTTCAATAACGCACACACATAAAGGTTTCCTATATGAAGAGAAAATGTTCAACCAGGAGTATTCAAAAGACGTACAGAAGTGAGACCTCTTCTAAAAAAATGCCTTTTCGTCTGTGGTGGGCGAGGACCCTCAGAAGGGAAATCATTATTATTTCTAGCCATCCTTACCCCGATCTCCCCTCACAGGGCTTTCTGTGGGGTGAAATGGGAGGGTTGTGAGGTTCTTCCCGCTATGGGAAATCTTGGCGTTGTTTGACAGGCCTCAGGGGTTATTTTATATTCGTACCGGCGCTCGGGATGTGGTTTGATGGGAAGTGAAAGGGCCAGGAATGGATTTCGTTAGCTTGACAACACGGTATGTCCTTAGCGCCGACCTGAAGACGCCTGATCGGACTCATTTTACATACTTAATTTCATTGAAACCTCTCAAGGTGTGTTGTCATTGCCTTTTTTTGATGCATACTGGAAAGTGAACAGACACTAGGAGCAGGATTTTCCTCTTGATATTACGATTATTATTATTATTATTCGAAATCTTACATTATTATAGCGACTACCATTCTTACCCCACTACAGCGTTCCTTTCGTTGGCTTTTTATTACAAACTTTTTTTTCATTTTATTTGTATTCATGTTTATTATCTTTACCTATTTACTAAGTACCAGGAACAGTAAAGTTCATGTATAAAAGGGGGACAAAAATACTTAATATATAGCTGTTCAGAGTAAAAATTATTTTTTATATGTGCACTTATTATGTAGTAAGTCTTATTTTGATTTCTAAATGAGTGCGTTTATTGACATTAACAATATTTTCATGTACCCTCTACACCATTATAGTTTTATCTTTTCCTACAATACCTTCACATGGGGAGTTTATAGGTATAGTTCGTTTGAACCTTTAACTTCCTTATTGTAAGTTACTTAACCGTTCCTTTGGGGTATTGTTGTGGCTCTATTTTGCTGAATATTGAGAGAGCTATATGTAGGTAATTTATTGGTTAATGAGTCTAAAATTTTCAAACGTTAAGTTTGGTTCTTATTTTTCTTTCTAAAGTTACTATGTATTTGTCTATAATTATGAACAAATGAAAGTGGATAAACCACGCTTTTTTTGCGTCCCTTTTTCTATAGCTTTTAAATTTAACCTTGAGGAAATCACACTTACTTTTCCTCGCAGCTGCGTGGGGACAGAAAGAGTATTTAAGAAAAAAAACAAAGGGATAATATTATTTTGAAATGGGGTGTTCTATCCAACGAATTAGTATGCTGAGTAAAAAGGAGTCTTCGAGGCACAATGAAAGTTCTAATAAATTATCAAATGATAAGTCGGCATCCGGTAATATCCCTTTGTCTGCGAAGCTGGATAATATATCAAAGTGCTCAGCAACTCTCACGAGGAAGAGGAAGACGATGAAATGGATTGAGCAGATCCCGAACAAGGTAGACCGAGAGTTGAATACGTATGAATTACACAATTGTTCAATGAATACGCTAGAAAAATATCAAAAAGATGAAATTCAGTTATCAGAAATAAGAGGTATTCATTAAACAATACTGAGTAAGTTTTCAATTCACTCGAGCATACCTCAGAATAGTTTATGCTTCTATTCAAAAAAAAAAAAAAACTAATTTTTTCTATCATAAATCCTAAACTTTTTCTATTATTATTATTGATATTTCCCATTATAATAGTTGTACATTTCTAAAGACAAGAAAAGTCTCATACCCGGGCGTGAATAAATGCAAGCAAATATTCCATATGAAAATATTACAGAATATCATTTGTTAGCCATATGTTGAGTGTTTCTTTTTAAATTTTGGCTAAATAATATGTAGTGGTTTTGCTTTACTTTTTTTTCACATTCAGTATAGGTGAACATTTAATTTTCAAGGGATTCTTAGGCTTTACCATTTGGTTTATTGGTATGTTAATTGGCTTTTATTATTTTAAGATTTCATACTAGAAAAATATGATATTAAGAAGTGTCTATAGAATTGATTTATTATCACTATATTTCTTCTATTCGTTTTAACAAGAGTTAATCTTGTAATTATATCTAGAACTATTTTATCTTGTGGTGGCCTCTATTACTTCATATCTATTTCCGTGTACACTTTATTCATTTTCCAACCATTTATGTAATGCTTTCGCTTATAGATCTGACGAGAGCTGGAGATAAAGGATGTCACAATTGTTTCTACTTTTTGTCTAATATATTTTCAAGAATATTCACAATGCCGTGTGGAAGGTGTTCTCGGGAATCAAGGTAGAGCTTTCTGATATGTGTATAACCATTTTTTCCCCTTTAACCTTCACGATATTCATATTTTTTGTCATTTTCCATATCTTACAGTGATTATCTTTATTTTTGTGTCTGTGTGTGTGTGTTGTTTTGTGGCGCAGTTCTGACAATCTTCCCAGATCGAATTTCCACCGTTGCTTTAGGACATTCCATAGGGGGGTTTTCTTCTTCATTTTGTGCTCTCAGTGAAAGCCCACTTTACGAGCCCCGCTGTGGATTCCTTTGGGCCGTCCTCACCTCTTTTTAACCCTTTTATCCTCGTCTGCGTTTGTTATATCCTTGTATGTCTGGGGAATAGTGAGCCTCCCCATCCATCCTACCACAAAGAGGTAAAAATAGCATACCATAGGATACTATCATCATTATCTAACCAAACCCGAACCCATCGTAAAGGGTACGCAGAGAACACGAACCGGATGGCGATGGCGGAGGAGGAGTGGGGGGCAGGCGATAAGCAGGACGTCCTTTTCCGCGCGCTTTACCTTCGTCGGGAGTTCCAACTGATCGCCAGCATCGCGGCCCAGGGGGAGGGCCTTCCCGGGGATGCCGCGATCGGCCCCGCCACGCCCCTTCACGAGGTCCGGCGGGCGCTGGGGGAGGTCATTTTGCTACCCTCGCCGCGGTCCGCCGCGGGAAAAGGGGGGTTGGCGGACCCCGCGGCGGCCTGGCCCGGG